TCAGTGAAGTGATCGGCACGTCTCGCGCGATATATCACGAACACGTACACCAGAGCCATTAACTCTGTGTGCGTGTCCGCCGGTACTTGCTACTGCACAACCTGCAAAGCTTTAAGTGGGTATGCGCGACCCCCACATTTGTGATATCACCAGCCTCCTGCATGCGTTTTTCACGCACCGCCTTTTCCTTGCCCGTGTTGCATCATGTTGCCCGAAGAGACATTGCTAGCAAGTAACAACAAACAAAAGTCATGTCATCTGTCGGACCTATTTACTTACGGCCCCATGAAATAATAATAAAAAGCCATCTGTTATTATCAGCGTAATTGCTGAGCACTTTGATCTCCTGGCCCTCGGTGGAGAAGCGTTCCCTCCCGGGGACCCGGCCACACATGGAAGGCGACGTTCCTGGCTGCGCCTGCCTTTCGGGAGGGCACCTGCTCCTTATCACCACTGCGCACTCGTTCTTGGACGCCCGGATGAGTGGACCTGCGGATCTTGGAGGCCCTCGACGTGCTGGCTGGCCGCAGCGACCTCCGGATGGTGTGCGGCGGGTGGTGAGAGTCTAGAGCTCATTTTCGAGCATGGCTCTCTGCCTGCCCCCTCCTGCACGCCTGGCCCGGTCTTCACTGCCTGCTGACGACGTCATCGGGCCGCGGTCATGGTCGTGACTACGTCGCCGTCGTCGCCTGCCACCCGGCCCACCTTGTCCTGCTGCCAGGTCTTGCTGCTGCCTGGTCCTGCTCCCCGCCGATCCCGCTGCATTGAATCCCACCCGCCCGAGTTCCGCGAGAGGTCGTCGTCCCAAGCGGCACCACGCTCCTGCCCCTTCTGGCTTCCTGGCACCATCCCTTCCTCAGAGACCTTGGCCCGGTACTCCGGATTCACCGGCGGTGGGCCCTTCTTCGCCGCCCTCGTCTGAACCGGCTGGTTCTCAAGCAAAGGCGTCTTCACGCCCTGCCGTCTCGGTGAAACCACGCCTGCTGATCCTAGACGGCGACGTTCTTTGTGTCTACCTCGCGGCCCTGGCAGAGTTGCAGTGTCCGGTCAGTGACTACAGCGTCAAGTACAGCGGGGCCAATTGGACGTCCCACGTGCAGTTGAGAACAACGTCCGTGTTAACGATCGAATCTACGTGTGCTCGGTGTGCAACTCGCCGCTGACGTCCCGGCACTCTTAGCACCGCTGTCTGGCCTCGGCCACGCTGGCGCCTTTGTCGCAGGCACCTCAGCGTCGCTGTGGCGATTATGACGCGACCTTTAAAACAGCGCTTGGCCTCGCGAATCATCTGCGAAGCCATGTCGACCAGGATGGGCCTTGTGGCGCTGCTCGTGCTCGTGCGCCGACTCGGCATGCGCGCCAAGTCAGCCCTTCGTCCACTTCTCCGTCGTCCTTGGATTCTCCGCCACCCGCAGCGTCCCGGGCTTTGCGACGACTCAGACACCGAACGCCTTCTGCTGCCGCACGTTTTGTGCGGCCCTCGTCATTTTCGGCCACCGGGTCGGGGGCCTATTCGCCCGTGTCAATCAACGAACCGGCTGCCTTCATGTACGAGTCTACCAGTGGTTCGTCAACGTCCATGGGTTCAACCGCTGTCCCTGCTTTGCTGGTACCATCCCCTGCCGCCAGCCCGATGCCTCTCGAGACGGCCATGCGCGACACCAGAGTAGTCTTGTCCCCTTTGCCGTCGCACGCGGGGTCCCGCTGCCTGCCGGCGTTCCCGTGGTGTCACCCGTCGCCGCGTCACCACAGTCGCTGGATCCTGCGTCGCCGCAGCAACCCCCGTCGTCCAACAGGCATGACCTGGTCCACTACGACTATAAACCTTCGTCGTCGTCGCATGGCGAGGCTCCTGCCTCGCGCGGCTCGCCGGCGGCTTCGCCCATTGGCGATGCTGCTGTTCTTTCGACCGACGACGACGCCACGCTCTCCGACGACGTCGCGGTGTCTTCGCCGCCACCCGATGCCGGGTCGTCCCTGGTTGTTCTACCCGGGGTCCCGGTGTCTCCAGCCGCCTCCTCATCGCCGCCCACATCCAAGGACGGGGCCGCAGTGGTTCCAGACAAGCAGGATGACGTTCCAGAGCAGCCTTACTCTGACGCAGTGACACTCCAGATGCCACCGGACCACACGGGCCTCCTCGAAGACCAGGCACGTCTGCTCTGCTCCCTGTTGTGGGACCCGCCCTCCGACGTGTTGTGGGCTCGCTGCAAGGAAGCTTGGAGGCAGGCCGTCACCTTGGCTGTCGCGGCGGTGCGTCTTGCGCCCTGGTCGCCAACGCTGCCAGCCTGACCCTTAAAATGCGGTCGACATTCAGCCGCTGTACCACCTCAACCATTGCCGTGCTGTAAGGCTGATCCTGGAGGGCCCGCCTCAGACGTGTGCCCTTCCGCTACAAAACTTGCAAGACCACTGGGAGCGCACGTGGTCGGCCCGCCAAGCTGAATCTACTCGGACGCCATTCGGCTCCACTGGGTGTCGACAAATTCAACTTCTCGACGGACGAGGTGTTTGGGCGCTTGCACAAGTCAGAGAACACGGCTCTCAGCGCGGACCATCTAATCTACCACAAATGGCGAACGGTCGACCTGGAGGCATGGTTCCTGGCAGTGCTGTTCAAAGCCTGCCTACGCCACCGCTGAATGCGGGACCCCTGGAGGACGACGTGGACCATCCTCATCTTTAAGAAAGGAGATCCGCGAGATCCGCAAGTCCCGTCCAACTGGCGGCCCATAGCCTCCGGCTGCACTGCATCGAAGCTTTATGCCAAGTGCCTTGCAGCCGGCTCAAGGCCTGGATCATCGAACACCCTGTCTTGTCGAAGTGCCAGAAGGGCTTCCTGCCACACGACGGCGTGTTCGAACTTAACTACATCCTTCAGCGCAGCCTCGACATCACCCGATTGGGACGCCTAAACCTGTGTGTGGTGCTGTTAGACTTCAACAACGCATTTGGCTCGATCCCGCACAAGGCCCTGCGATCGACGCCCTGCGTGGTGCTGGCGCCGGCTCCGTGTTCACGGAGCTAATCGGCGACCTGTACTTAGGAAACAGTACCTGTATCCTAGTGGCCGAGGGTACCACAGAACCGATCCAGATCCTGGCCGGGCTATGTCAGGGTTGCCCACTCAGTGGATTGCTGCTTAATTTAGTGGTCGACCCGGTCATCCGCGCAGTGCAGGGTGGTGATTCCGACCACAGGATTCTCGCGTACGTGGAAGACCTGACTCCCCTGGCCTCGACTTCGCGCCGACTACAGCAGCGCATCGATCACATCGAGACCCTCGCCGCGTCCTTGGGCCTGTCCTTGAACCCGTCAAAATGTGTGTCCTTCCACATTCATAGATCGACACCTGTGGGGATGCCCCAGACAGATTTAACAGTCTCGGGCGTCCCTATCTCGGTACAGCGCGACTTCGAGCCGCAGCGATACCTGGGACGGCCCATCGTCTTTCGTATCCCCTCCGGCTCCGGTTCCGCCGTCGAATACCCCGTCGCCCAAACACGGGCGATCATGTGATCGATGTTACCGCCGTGGTAGCGGCTGCATGCCCTCCAGAATATTGTCTACCCGGCGGTCAACTTCCCGATGCGCTGTGGAGTTATGTCGACGACTGACTGGCGCCGACTGGACGACGCCATTCGGCCGCTGGTGAAACGTATGCTTTACCTGCCTACCAACGCGGCCACCAGCTCTATTTATGGTCCCGCACCTAGTAGCCGTCAGGATCCCGATTGCGCGGGGCTCAGCGACCTCTGCCACATCGACTCTGCCTTCAGGCTTCTAACGTCCCCCGACACCGAGCTGCGGCAGATGGCATTTGGCGACGCCTATGCGATCGCCACTGCCCGTCTGGGCTGTGAGGTGAACAGCGTGGAGCTGGAGGCCTACCACGAGGGATCGCTTGGAGACAGGTTCCGGGTCCCGGCCTCCCAGCTGCTGTCCGAGTGGACGAATGCCCGCAAAGCGTCCAACCACTACAACGTGGCCTGGTCCCTTGATCCTGGCGGCGTTTGACTCACCTGGGGCGACGCCACGATTACCTCAAAGCACCGGTGCCGCGTCATGCGGACGCTACGTGTGGTGGTGGTAACGAAACGGGACCGCGCCCGCACGGCCTCCCCTGCCGAGGGAAGGTGCTAGCGCGGTGGCAGACCCCGCAGGTTCACATTTTATGCGTACGGGCTCCTTCACCACCTTCGCGGACTGGCGGTTCGTGCACAGGGCCAGCCTTAACCTGCTCCCATTCAACGGCGCTCGCATGTGGGGCGCGCCAGACAGGGATCAGCGTTGCGGCGTTTGCGGTTACCTGAGGGAAACACTGTCGCAAGTGGTATGCGACTGCATGCCTCTCAGTACGTTCTACCAGGGTCGCCAAAAGGTCATCGTGCATCGCGTCCGGACTGCCACCTCCCGCGAGTTATCGGTGGCCTTCGAGTACCAGGCCATCAGAGACACGGACCTGCACCGGATCTCGTCTAGGTGCGTGGCGAAGTGGCGATAGTCATCGACGTCACGGGCCCCTTTGAGAACACGCCGGACACCGCCGAAAACGCCCGCATTGCCAAGCTGGCTGATTACGAGCCGGTGGCGGAGTTTCTCCATCGGCGGTACCAGAAAGTCACCATGGACGCAGTCATCGTGGGAGCCCTAGGTACTTGGGATGCGGCGAACCACCGCGTACTTCGACGCATATGTTCGCGCCCCTACTTGCGCCTCTTCAAGAAACTTTGTGTGATTGAGGTCATCGCTGCGTCTAGCGTGATATTCAGACCACTTACGGCAAAGTCATCAATTTATTCCCGTCCGTTGGTGCATGCTATTGCATAAAGTCCTGCTACGGGTGTGTGTGTTCGCCCCTTTGTATAAATTTGCTTTCTTGGCATGCGATACATTACATTGTCACGCGCCGTGCTTTTTCTCGGCCGTGTTGTGCCATGTTTTTCGAAATTCGTCGCGAGAACTCTCTGCTGAAAGCCATGTCCCAAGCCATGTCCAAGACTCTTTCACTTACGGCCCTATGAAATATGAATAAAAGCCAATGTGTTCTTATCAGCTTAATATCTGATACTGATCCTATTTGGATCTAAGATATTAAACTCATTTTTGCAATGCCGTGGAGTGCTTGAAGCTTGCTTCACCCCCGCCACGGGTTGGCGCGGTATTGCACTACCTCCAGGATCGGCCCACTCCCCCTGCGCTGGTGAGTTCAACATTATTCTCAATAAAAAAAGAGTGTACGGATTCGCCAAGGAAATCGGGTTAAACCGCGTGGGTGCGGCGAGTGCCTGAAGCCGTGGCGTCACGCCGCCCCGGCTGACGCGGTAGTCGCGGCCGCTCGCCCGCGTGCGGGGAGTGCGCTAGCTGTCTTCACATGACCTCCGCCACGGATTGGCCCGATGATACGAATCCATCGCTTCTCGGCCTTTTGGGTGCGATCAAACTGTAGTCGTGTGGCTGATATGTGGCCGTCAGCACAGAAGACCCCACATGGACCGGCTACACCCCAACAACCCCCCTTTTGTTGGCGGTTCTCCCTATGCAGGCCGAAGGCGAGCTAACGGCGGGCTAACGCCCTCTACCCCAAGCACCGTTACGGGGCCCCCTCACAAGAGCTCCAAACCTCTTCCCTTCCGGGCAGAGATGGGGCTCTGGGGGAGCTTACAAACGGAGTGGCGCCCATCGTCTCGATGAGTCGGGTGTTACAGGGCTCTTCAGACAACGACGGCACGGAGGGCAGCCCTGTGCGCCAGGCGGGCTACGCGGACGACGACCCACCGGGCAGGCATACCAACCACGCAGTACCTGCACGAGATGACGTCAGCTCCTCGGAGGAGTACGCCAGCCCACATGCGGACGACACCGGGGAGCCAGCTGACCAGCAGCTGGGGTGCGTCGACGAGTCACCAGCGCCCGCTCAGCAGGCGACGCCAATCGTGGACAACATCAGCGAAGTGGGGCGAGTACCTGCCGACCCGACAGTGCCCCCTGGTGACGTCACCGGCAGCCACAATGGCACACAAGACGAGGCAGCTGAGACCCTGGGGCCTGAGAAAGTGCCTGGTTCCTGGCGGAAGTGACGGCAGAGCTACGTGACCTTGGCCGGGGCCATGTATCGTAGGAGCAGTGGGCGCAGTTCGAGCCTATCCTTGACCACGCCGAGGCAGCCATTATTGACCATCAGCGGCTGCCCTGTCGGGGCTCGCGCCAAACACCACCTCGGCACGAGATAAAGCCCGGCAATGTTTCTCCGATACAGGGACGATACATAAGGAACCAAGCGACGGGCCGTCCATCTTATTGTGGAGGGCCCATCGGAGCTCTGCCCCATCAACCCAGGCACCCTTCAAGGCCACTAGACGAAACTCTGGGCCTCGGTAGCCGAGGATACGGCCATTTTCAGGTCGCGAGCCCCCACGACAGAGGAGACGGATACGTGCCTCTTCCTCCCAGATGAAGTTGCAGCCAAGCTCCGGAGGTGTGAAAGCACCGCTCCTGGGGAGGACCGTCTGACTTACCACCACTAGAGGCAGGTGGATCCTCACAGGCAGTTCCTGGCGGCGGTGTTCAAAGTCTGCCTCCTACACCACAGCACACTCCAGAGCTGGGCATCATCGAGGACCATCCTGATCTACAATAAGGGCGACCGCGAGGCACCTACAAACTGGCGACCCTTGCCCTTGGTAGAACAATCACCAAATTGTATGACGGGTCTCTCAACGCCCGGCTGCAGCGGTAGTTGGGCGACCAAGGGACCTTGTCAAGGTGTCAAAAGGGCGTCCTGCCATACGATGGGGTGTTTGAACACAACTACGTGCTGCAGGGACGGCTGGATGACGCCAGGACAAAAGGTGGGGAGCTGTGCGTAAGTTTCCTTGACTTCGCCAATGCCTTTAGCTCAGTTGGCCTCTCGTTGATGCAGTCCGTGGTGCCGGCGCGGGGGAGACCTTCGCGGAGATCGTGGAGGAGCTCTACCGCGCCAACACCACCTGCGTCGTGGCAGCAGCTGGCACCACGGAGCCTATCCCCATCAGAGCTGGCCTGAGGCAGGGATGTCCAGTGAGCGGCCTGTTATTCAATTTGTTGGTGAATTCAATCAGGGCAGTGCAGGGAGGCGATAAGCAGCACAACATCCTTGCTTACACTGATGATCTGACACTGCTCGCCGAGGACCCTACCACCTTGCAGCGCTGTCTCAACGTCGTGACAGCCCTCTCGTACCGGCTGTGACTGCGGCTCAAGCCGGCCAAGTGCCGCACCCTCCACCTATCCGGGCGCTACCCGTTAGGCCAACGGCCCACCACTTTCACCGTTGGGAGCGTCCCGGTTCCGGCACTGGCGGACTACGAAGGGCACCGTTTCTTGGGGCGACCTGTGGACTTTTGGGTGCTCCCGGACCAAACGACCATCGACGAGGCAATCCACCTAGGCAGGAAGCTGCTCTCTTCAATGTTCGCTCCATGGCAGAGGCTGGATGCCATTAAAACTTCTCTATACCGAGCTCTCAACTTCGCCATGTGGGTGGGCCTCGCCAGCAAGGAAGAGTGGCAGCGCTTGGACGACGCGCTCTACCCCCTCATCAAGAAGACCCTCTACGTGCCAGCCAGAGCATCCAACGACTACGTGTACGGGAGCGCACGGACCGGCACGGCAGGGATCCCTTTGGCGGCACAGCTGAGCGACATCCGCGGGGTAGACGGGGCCTTCAAACTTCTAACGTCGGTGGACACGGAGGTCCGGGAGTGGTCAAGGAAGGCGCTCCACCAGCTGGTCTCCAGGTGGCTCCGACGTGACGCTGACGATGAGGATATCGAAGGCTTCTTCTCGGGCGACATAGAAGGCGACTTCAGACAGACCACTACTTAACTTTAGTCTGTCTTGACAGAGGCCCGCAAAGCCTCGCGTCGCCTAACTGTAACCTGGGAGTTACAAAACCAGGGCACCCGCATCAGCTGCGGGGAGGCCACGGTGTCTGCATGTAACCGAAACAAGCTGGTGAAAACCCTTCGGGCCATCCTCAGCCAGAGCCGAGACCATTCCCTCGAGGCGAAACAGAACCAGAGCAAGGCGATGGCATGTTTAGCGATGGACCCCACTGACTCTCACTTCATATGGACCGGACACTACACCAGTATTAAGGAGATGCGCTTCGTCCACTGAGCCCGGCTAAATCTCCTCCCCCTGAATGGCACTCGCATTTGGGTACCTGCTGGAAACAAATCGTGTAAACGCTTCGGGTACAAGGATGAGACGCTGCCGCACGTTCTCTGTCACTGCATGCGGCAGAGCCGGGCAATGACGGAGCGCCACAACGCCATCGTCGCACGCATCGAGAAGGCTGCCATTGCGAGGTTCGCCGTGATCGGAGAGAACCAACAGGTCGGTCTTCCCGGCCTGTGACCCGACCTGGTCCTGGCACAAGGCTAGGAAGCCCTGATCCTGGACGTCTGCTGCCCTTTCGACAACAGACTGCAGGCGTTTCAGGAAGCCCGGAGGCTCAAGGAAGAGAAATACCCTCTTACAGTGACACCTCCTCTAACGGTTCCAGCACGTCACCGTCGAAGCTATCGTCCTCGGCTGCCTGGGGTCGGGCGATCCGGCGATGGATCGTGTCACCCGCAGATTGTGCTCAAAAAATTATCTGCGAACTATGAAACCCTTGTGCGTCAGTCACACTATCGCAGCTTCCACGGACATTTTCCGCCACCACAATGGAGTATTGTAATATATTGTACATAGCCATTTTTTGAGAAGCGATTTTTCATGTTTTAGATTTGTACACCTTTACAGTTTTACCACTTTTAATTTATTTGTACTGACAGTTTTTTTGCCCTTTCGTTGCCGGTTTTTATCTTATACACTTTTACCCAGTTATGTATTTGAGTTCATTTTCTAACCGTCAATTAGGATGCTTTTGTGTACGTAATATGAATAAAAAGTGTGTTCTTATCAACTTAAGATCTGATACAAATCCTATTTGGATCCAAGATAATAAACTTATTTTTGCAACGTGGTGGAGTGTTTCAAGCTTGCTTCACCTTCACCACGGGTTGACCCGGTTTTGCACTACCTCCGGGATCAGCCGACTCACCCCTGCGCTGGTGAGTTTAATATTATTCTCAATAAAAGAAAGAGTGTCCGGATTCACCAAGGAAATTGGGGTGAACAGCGTGGGTGCAGCGTGTGTCGGGGTCAGCGTGGGTGCAGCGTGGCGTCACGCTGCCTGTCTTCGCCTGTCTGCCCCACCACGGCGTACGAACCAGGGTCTCCAGAGGCGTGCTAGGAGAGCCTACCTTCAGTGGGTGCACCAAGTCAACGACAGGCGAGCACTTCGCATCATGCACCATACGTTCTGCGCTAGCACCAAGGAGGGACGGACACGGTGAGTTACGATAGCGCGGCTGCGCGACGGATTGTCGCCGGCTTCAAGTTGTGTGTAATATAGACGCCTACTGACTTGGAAAAGGGGAGACACGTTTGACGTTGTCCCGGTGGGGTCTATCACTTCTCGGCCATTTGGCTAAGTTCAAAGTGGCGCCAGCGTGGACGTGGTCCCGCTGGCGCCTTCGTCGGAGACACCTCGGCGTCGCTGTGGCGTCTGTGGCGACTTTTACGTCCACGCGTGGCCTGGCCCTTCACCAGCGATGCCACGTCGAACAGGCTGGGCCTTCTGACGCCGTTTATGCGCGTGCACCTGTCCGGCATGTGCGCTGCGTCAGCAGCTCTACCACTTTTGCGTCGTACTCGAGTTCCCCGCCGCCTGCAGCGTACCGGGCTTCGCGACGCCTCAGAGGCCGAGCGCCTTCTCATGCCGCACGTACTGTGCGGCCCTCGTCGTCTTCGGCCACCGGGTCAGGGGCCTCTTTGCCTGCGTCGATCGACGAACCGGCTACCTTCATGCACGAGACTGCCATCGGTTCGTCAGCGTCCGTGGCCTCAGCCTCTGTCTCCGGTTCGCCGGCACCATCCCCTGCCGCCAGCCCGGTCCCTTCCGAGCAGCCCATGCGCGACGCCAGAGTCGTCCTGCCTCCCTGGCCGACGCACATCGGGGTCCCGCCACCTGCCGGCGTTCCCGTGGATTCGCCTGTCCCCGAAACACCATGGTCGCGGGATTCTGTGTCGCCGCAACGACCCTCGTCGTCCACCAGGCAAGTCCTGCTTCCCTACGACTTCGGGCCCTCGTCGTCGTCACATGGCGAGGCTCCCACCTCGCGCGGCTCGTCGGCGGCTTCGCCCGTAGTCGGTGCCGCTTTTCTTTCAATTGACGACGACCACGCGCTCCCTGATGACGTCGCGGTGTCTTCGCCGCCGCTCGATGCCGGGTCGTTCCTGATTTTTCTACCTGGGTTCCCGGTGTCTCCGGCCTCCTCCTCTTCGCCGCGTGCGTTCGTGGACGAGGCCGCGGCAGTTACCGACAAACGCGATGAAGTTTCAGAGCAGCCCGATTCTGACAACGCGACCCTGCAGATGCCACCGGTCCACACGCGCCTAATCGAGGACTAGGCACGCCTGCTCCACTCCTTGTTGCGGAACCTGCCCTCTGACGAATCTTGGGCTCAATGCGAGGAAGCTTGGACGCAGGCCGTCACCTTGGCTGTCGCGGTGGTGCGTCTCCCACCGGCGCGTCCTGGTCGCCAGCGCCACCAGCCTGACCCTTCAAACGCGGTCGACATTCAGCGGCTGTACCGCCGCAACCGTCGCCGCGCAGTGAGGCTCATCCTGGAAGGACCACCCCAGGCGTGCGCCATTCCTGCACCGGAATGGCACACTTTGTGGTCAGGAGCTTCAATACCTTTGGGGGCGCATGTGATCGGCCCACCAGGCCTACTTTATCCTTCTACTGGGAAGAGATCCGGCTCCGGCTGCAGTAGACACGTCTCACTTCACACCGGACGAGGTGTTCGGGCGTCTGCGCAAGTCGGAGAGCATGGCCCTCGGCAACCGTTGGACCTACCACCATTGGCGGCCCCACAGGGGCCCGTGCGCAAGTAGCTGTCTGGTGTGTAGCGACACCACGGACCCGAGCTAACGGAGGAGTTTCTGCTCCCTTCCACGCCTAGCCGTGCGTGGCTGAGCCGTGTCCGGGGAAAAGGGGATCTTAGGGGTTGAGTTGACGCTGGGTGCTTAGACTTTTGAGGCCCCCTGGCAGAGGCAACACACACCTTTGGCGCCGGCTTCACGTAGACGGCACCACTGGGCTGACCCATCCAGGGGAAATCTGCAGTCGCTTTTTTCCTATCTCTCTATGCCTACATCATCGTCTTTATTTCTCACAATTTATGTGTCCTGTCTTCTACTCCCTCCTGTTTACTTCCAAGCTTTCTCGCGGCTAGGGTTAACCCTGTGAAAATAGCCTACCTTGGTCCAAGCGCATTGGGTTATAGTAGCGTTGTACGGCTGGCGTCTACAGGTTTTAGCATCCGCAAACTTGTTGTGTCCCCTCGGTGGGCTCCGTGGTGGGTGGCCGACAACGCTTCTGAAAAAATTTAAACTGGCATGCAAAGATCGTTTCTCTTATTGAAAATTGAAATTGAAATTGAAATTGAAATTTATTCCGCAACAACAAAATACATGTTACGAGGAGGGCAGGTAAAAGCTGTGAGAACAGCTTGAGAAGCCCTGACCCCCTAGTACACAGGGTAGCACAGAAAGACGTGCGGCTAAGGACAACCAAAATAAAAGTGTTTCACAATGTGCACTAAAAAAAGAAACAATGAAAGATTACAATGAAAGATCACCGAGGTAGTCGCTAGATCACATTATTATATAAACACTAATCGCAATTTTTTTGGTGATATGCTAGATATATCAATGTTATGTTCCCTAATTATGCGGTTTAGAAGTGCAGGCAGTTGAAACTTTAACATTTGATTACCGTATTTCGTTCTACATTTTGATATGTGCCACACTTCAGGTTGACGTACATTATAAGCAGGAAAATTTTTCTCTAACCTGGCTATTCTAGCAATCGTATCATTATTTTTCAATAAACCGAACTTATATAAACGGCTTAGTTTATAATCATATATTGATGCAACCTGAATGATGTAGTGTTTTTTAAACAATTCTGCTGTGTGGCTGCGATGTGGTAATTTAGAGGCAAGACGCAAAGCTTTCTTTTGCAAGATGGTAAGTTTGCAAACGTTTACAGTTGTCGTTGTGGACCATACAAGAAAGGCATAATTCAATAATGAAGAAAACAACGAGTTATATATGAGCATGTTTACAGAAACAGGAAAATAGTAGCAATGACGGCGCATGACGCCGATTATACGAGATAGTTTAGTAATAATATGGTTCACGTGATCATCCCATGTCATGTTTTGTGAAAAGTACACGCCTAATGATTTAAAACTTTTGACGACTTCAATTTCTAAATTATTTAACGAAATGATAGGAAACTGAACTTGCGTGTGGCGGGGGTGAAATAAAACAGCTTTTGTTTTTTTTATGTTTAGTTTTAGAGAGTTTTCTTGGGCCCATGTGTTAATTTTAGACAGTGCGTTATTCGCTCGGCTACCTAGATCGCTGCTACATCTGCTTGAAAAAAACAAACTTGTGTCGTCAGCATATATAATGTAATGGGCAGATTCATCAATACGAACTATCTCATTAACGTAAAGTATAAAGAGAAACGGTCCCAAATGCTTCCCTGCGGGACGCCTGTTTTAATGGATTTTGTTGCGGAATGTTTGCCTTGAATTACGACGAATTGAGTTCGGTGTTGCAAGTATGAAGTGATTAATTTGTGTGCAACGCCTCTTATACCGTAATGGTCCAACTTTTGTAGGAGAATTTTATGATTAATGAGGTCAAAGGCTTTTGAGAAATCAAGAAAAAGACCGAGTACCATATTTCGGGATTCAAAATTCTCTAGAATGTATTCTTTTTGTGCCAGTAGCGCGAGCTCAGTAGATTTATTTTTCCGGAAGCCATACTGCGCTGAAGTAATCAAGTTGAACTTGTCAGTAAAAGAGTTCAAACGTTTCAAAATTATTTTTTCCAGACCCTTAGAGAATACAGGTAGAATCGATATAGGGCGGTAGTTGGACATGTCATTTCTGGGACCCTTTTTATAGATAACTGTCACTTTTGCTATCTGCATGTTTCGCGGGAAATGTCCTGTGGACAAACATATGTTAAAATGTAGGCAAGACAGGGTGCTAGTATGTCAATAACATACTTAACAGGTTTCATCTGAATATTGTCCGCGTCAGTGGCTTTGCTATTACTGAGTGTCAAAAATGTCGCTACTAATTCACTCTCTGAAATTGGTTCTAGAAATATGTTTGGTTATTTCGAATATTCATATATTTTAAAGAAGTACTACTGGTTGTAGGGCCGCCAACTGACAAAAAGAAGTCGTTAAATGCATCAGCTAAATCAGGCCCTTGAATTTCTGTACCATCTTTCACAATTTTGGTTAATTCCTCCGGTGGATTATTAAGCGTACTGTTAATTGCCTTCCAAACGTTTTCTGTACGCCCTTGCGTTGAGTTAAACAGGTTCGAATAATATAGTTTCTTTTCATCACGAAGGCGTTTGGTGACAAAGTTTCGGTGCTTTTTAAATGCTTTGAGGGCTTCAGGGGACTTACTCACAATAAATGCCTTGAACAATTGGTCCCGCTTTCTTATAAGCTTAAGGCATTCTTTATTTACCCAAGGTTTCCGACTTTTTTTAAATGTTTTAAATGACTTTAGGGGAAAACATTGAAGGTATATTTCGGTGAACTTGTTCATAAATAAATCGTATGCCAAATTGGCGGCACTCGCTGCGAACACATTGCTCCAGTCGGTTCTGCCTAAGCGCTCTCTAAAGAGGGTTAGTGTTTCAGGATTTATAAGTCTATAGGAAAATTCTGCACGCACTTGTTTGGGTACGTTATTGAGTTGGTTAACAGACATAAATATAGGCATGTGGTCACTAATATTGTGAATCAAAGTGCCAGCCGTAACAAGGGAAGTATCAAGTTTGTTATAAAAAGATCTAAGAGTGTTGATGACTGTGAAGTGATTCGCGTAGGAGCCGTTATAACATTTTGACAATAATGCGAGCTTAACATTGATTCAAGTTCTAATTTAACACTGCT